TCTCTACAAAAAAACAAAACAAAACAAAACACACACAGATAGCCAGACAGTCAGGCTCTGGTTGTTCTGGGAGAGGCCTGGGCCCTAGCCTCATTTTTAAGTGCCCAGGTGATGCTGCTCTGTACCAAGGTTGAGGCTGTGGGTGTAGGTAAGAACTGTGAGATGGAGGAGGGAGGACACATGGGGACACACGGGGGATCATTTCGTAGATGGAATCAGCCCCACAGCTCAAACTAAGGTCCGCCCAGCTCAGAGGGATGCCCAAGGCTAAAGGACAAGTTGACAGAGAGTTTCATTCACAGGCTATGGGGGTGACTCACAGGACAGGGTGACAGTCACCCAGTCAGGGTGGCCTTCTGGGGCCGGTTGGGAGAAGGGAGACATTCCATGATAACCTGTTTTGTCCCCAAATAATTGAATTCACACCAAAAAATTGCAAAATACATTTTTAAGAAGGGGGTGAAACCACTGACTGTCCTGTCACCTGCAGAGACGTTATGAGCATGTTGTGCGCTCCCTTCCTGTATGTTTCTTTCAGGGCGCATAAACTTTTCTTTTTTGAAATACTTAATATAGTTTTATATTCAATTGGCTGTTTTTTTTTCACCTAGCAAAAAGTGTAAGTTCTCCTATGTCACTCGAAAGTGTTTGAGAAACTGATTTGCTGTGGCTGCATAATATCCCCACAGGACATTCTTCCTCCTTGAGTTAAACCAGCCCTGCTGCTATTCTGGGATTTGGACTGCCCAGCCCTGGAGAACCCCAAATGGGGGACAAGCAGCGCCAGTGTGCAGGGCTGGTATCAGAGAACTGTGAAGAACCACTGCTATAAAGCTGATGAGCTCTGACATTAGAAATGCAGAATCCACCTGGGTGTAGTGGCTCCCACCTGTATGATTAAGGATGTCAGGTGGCCACTTTCTAGGCAAAATGTCTCCCCACCAACCTGTCATGGGGTCTGATTCTCCTACTCCAGAATAGGGTCACCCTTAGGATAATAAAGACTTGGGGTTTTGCCTATTAAACACAACTCTAAAGCAAACTAAATTAAATTAAATTGCCTTTATGAGTTGATACCATGCACAGTCAGTCAGCTTAGAGGAAAATGTACAAAAAGTTGCTGAGAAGCAGGATTTCCCAAGAAGCAGTGGTGGGCCAGGAGTCCTAGACAGCTGCTAATCCTGTGTTTTTTGGCAAGCGGCCCCAGGCCCCAGGCTACTCATGTTACAATGAGGGTGCTGGCTGGGTGATTCCATTGATCCCTGCTTCTGTAAAATGGTGCTGGAGCAGGTGGGTGAGAGGGGAACAGAGATGCTGCCATGCTGGGGTGGGGGGGAGGGGGCATCAAAAGAAATAAAAAGACTGCATTCCTGTCCTTCAGGAAGTTATAATTGAATTAGCAGATAAGTGGGCACACACATAATTGACAGATGCATGCATGTAGTCCCTTTAAAAAAAATTTTTTTTTGAGACAGAGCCTCAAGCTGTTGCCCTGGGTAGAGTGCCCTGGTGTCACACCTCACAGCAACCTCAAACTCTTGGGCTTAAACGATTCTCTTGCCTCAGCCTCCCAAGTAGCTGGGACTACAGTGCACGGATATTTTTTGGTTGCAGTTGTCATTGTTGTTTTAGCTGACCCACGTCAGTTCGAACCCACCAGCCTGGATGTATGTGGCTGGCACCCTACCCACTGAGCTACGGGTGCCGCCCCTTGAAGATATTTTTAAGTGGTCTTAC